TTAAAATGTTAAAATCAAATCTGATATTGTTTTACCTTTTATTTGGTGTGTGGAAGGTGTGCGGAAGAGGGGGTAGTCTTATACGGCGAGTATATAACAAACTCTGTATTTTGAGTGGAAATGTTAGGGGGTCGTCTTATACGCCCAGTCGTCTTATACGCCGGCAAATACGGTACTATTAACTGTTGGATTCACTCATATGGTCTCCAATGAGACTGCAAGGGGCTTCATTACAATCTAATGGGGATCAAAGCCTCAGCTCTCACTAGAGCTCTCTGACATGCCCAGCAGGGGATAGTTAAGGGCACCTGTTTTTGTTGGGTCAAGGTGGAAGTCTAGACTTCCCACCAGTCTCTGATAGTGGAAAGGGGGAGTGCATCTCCCCTCCCACCTCCCCCCCATCAGGTGGAGTAGAGTAGTTACTGTTTAAAAGTTTTCTATTTTGTTAGGCTGCCCTTTCCCTGGTCCTTTGGATAGAGGAAGCATGCTTCTGTGAGTTTTTTTGTTGTTTTACACCTGTTAGTGTTTTGGGTATGATGGCTTCATCAACACCCACTTTATTATAGAAGGCTAAAAGAAAACCGAGGTTCCTTGGGTTCTGAGGCCTCTAGCTGGTCTGCCACCTTTTCTCTACCTTATACAGTCTTCAGTCTTTTAATGATTGTTTTATATAGAATGTCTAGGGTTTTAGCCATATTTATCTGGAGGAATAGGAAAAATGTGTTTATGCCATCTTTCTCTTCTGCAAAATGCATTGTTACATATTTATAGATTTTAATTATATGTGTTGGGTAGATCTCTCAGTTTGGAGCCTGTGTTTTCATTTTCTTCATAGCAATCTTTTGACTAGTTGTAGTTCTTAATTAACTTCAATGAAAAATTCTATTGAAATTCCTGTTTGGATTGTGATTAAAACTGAATTGAATCTGTAGGTATGTTTGGGGAGACTTGCCATCTTTAACATCATGGACTTTTTTTTATTACTTAGATATATTTTAAGGTTTTAAAATGTAGCTTGACATTTTTCTCCAGTGGCCTTATACATTTTTAAAGATTTATTCCTAAGTACTTAAAATACTTTTATTGTTATTGTAAAATGGATTTTAAATTTTAAAAAATGTGTTTATTGCTTAAATTTTAAAAAATGTGTTTATATACAAATAAAATTGACCTTTGGATTGTTTTATGCATTTTATTTTGCAAAACTATATCTGAGAATCTTATTACAGTCTCCTTGGTACAGATTACAGCATCAAGTTTATATTAACCCTTTGAGTGACAACCAATATCCTAGGAACTATGCTAAAATTGCCAATTCACTTTTGCTGATTTTACAGCAGTTTAGGAAAAAAATTATGAATCGCAAATAAATGAAGTTACATATTCAAAAACTTAAGGAAACCTTTACTGCATTTGTTTTCATCTTTGACATATATTGTTTGCTGATTGTATTATAAAATACTAGTAGAAAAAAGAATTTGAACAACACATATAATGTTAAAATAAAGCGCTCCCAGCACTTTTGGCGAAAGACAGGAGGAGCGCAATTGCGCTCCCCGGCACTCCAGGGGTTAAATATACAAACATTTAACTACAAATTTAGATTTTAACTCATACATAATTTTTATTGTCTTACCAAGCACTATAAAAAATGATGCCTTTCCCCCTCCCTAAAGGAACATTATTTGCACTTATTAAAGGGAAATAGAATAGTATTTCCTAATCTCCCAAGGAGATTTTAAACAAAACAAGTATGTCTGTGCTCCACTTTCACAAATCCTGATTCTGGTTCAGAGCAAACCAGAGCTCTCTGTTCTTTTTTTTTTTTTTTTTAAATATATTTTATTGATTTTTTACAGAGAGGAAGGGAGAGAGATAGAGAGTTAGAAACATCGATGAGAGAGAAACATCGATCAGCTGCCTCCTGCACATCTCCAACTGGGGATGTGCCCGCAACCCAGGTACATGCGCTTGACCAGAATCGAACCTGGGACCTTTCAGTCCGCAAGCCAACGCTCTATCCACTGAGCCAAACCAGTTTCGGCGAGCTCTCTGTTCTTTTAGTAGTCTCCCATGTACTTCTGCATATTCCTATCTGAAAACCACTGTTAAGAGAAGTTGCTAAACAAGAAAAAGAGTAGTCCATAGGGATGTTTGTTTGGAGGAGTAGCTCATTTAAAATTATGGGACTAGGTGTGGGATATGTATAGACACACAAATAAAATCCATATATGTACATAAACTGAATTGTTTTGTGTTAAGTAGCAGCAGGTATGAATTTGAAGAGCATCCTATATAATAAAAGAGAAACATGTAAATTAACCATCTCTCTGCTATGCTCACCAGCCAATCAGAGTGGGTATGCAAATTAACCTAACAAAGATTGCGGGTTAATTTGCATACACAGGTGTCAAGGGCCCCAGGAGGCAACGGCAGCGGCCACGCGGGCTCCCGGGACCATTGCTGGCCCCGGGAGGTGAGGCCGGCCGCACCTAGCCATGCCCGTGGGCTCCTGGGCCTTCGCCAGCCCCGGGAGGCAAGGCCATAGCCAGGACCTTCGCTGGTAGAGATCAGAGCGGGAGAGCGGGTGGAGAGTGGGAGGTTTGGAGGACTTGGCAGAGCAGGAGGCTGCTGGACATAGAGCAGAGCGAGAGAGAGGGCGGCTTGGAGTGCGTGGCTTCCTCTGTCACCTCAGCTTCCTCATCACAGCTGTGGAAACTGACAGCAGGGAGGAGGAAGTCCCACCCCTATGGAATCAGCCGTTGGTCAGACAGCTCTCAGAGGCCTGACAGCCAGGACTCTTCTTCATCTGCATCTCAGACCATGAGAGTAGAGAGGTGGGACTATGTCTAAAGAACAACTGTTGATACAACGTAGCTCTGAAGATCAACATGCATCTGATCTTGAAAGAAGGCGGCGCCTGCAACAGATGTATCTAAAGAGCAGCTACTGGAAAAATGTCACTCTGATGCCGAAAAACACTGGTGTCATCAACAGAAAATGTCTAAAGACCAATGTGCCTTTGAGGTTGAAAGAAGGCGGTGGTGACGACAGAATATGTCTAGAGAACAGTCATCAACAAGTACTACCAGTACTGGTAGGAACTGCCTTCTCCGCGAAAATGGGAGTATTT